GACTGTCTTGTCACGGCCACGGAGGCTGTTCACGAACTCACTGCCTGTCCTGCTACGGCCAAGGAGGCCGTTGAAGAACTCATTGCCTGTCCTGCCACGGCCAAGGAGGCCGTTCATGAACTCAGTCTGCCCTGTCACGGCTGCCCGATCTGCCTGCTCCGCCATGGCTGCCCGATCTGCCTGCTTCCCCATGGCTGCCCGATCTGCCTGCTCCCCCATGGCTGCCCGATCTGCCTGCTCCCCCATGGCTCCCTGCTCTGCCTGCTCCCCCATGGCTCCCTGCTCTGCCTGTTCCGCTTCACGGGCCTGGCCCTGTTGCTAGTGAATGAGAGCCAGTGTTAGCATGCATTCTTTTTAATTTGATAAAAATAGTTCATTTAGGGATTTGGGGGGGCTTGGTCTTCCAGGTATGAAATTGTCTGCATTAATTGTTCAAGAGGTTTTATGCTATGAGTGAGGTTTTTCAGAGACCAGGGCCCGGTTGCATGAAAGTCCTTAAGTAATTTGACTTAGGAGTATCCCTGAGGGGAAAAAATTCCCTGAGGTAAGGGATTTCTTTAGGAGCGTTGCAACAAACGTCTTTACTGTCACCCTTACCTAAGTGTTTATACTAAGCGTTTCACGGTAGTTTCTGACCACATACGGCAATGGGCGCCGCGGTTACTATAGTTACCACATCTCACAATAAACATAGATATGACAATAAACAGAACATAACGAAATACAAACCTAACCAACTAAAACACGAACAAACATTAAATAAACATGAGCGCTGCCCCGCTGCTTTGAGTACAGTCGTTACCAAGGAAACCGCTTTGTTTCTGCAGTGAAAGCGCCTCCTGCTGACTAATGATGGAAAATTGACCAAATGTGAAAATTGACGCTGCAAACACGCAGGGTTGTAAATGTGAACAGGTGGATCGACATGAAGATAATGCATTATAAAAATCTAAACAATTAAGATATACATTACATTTATATTGTTAATTAATGTAATAATTGATTAATAATAATTGTTTAAATTAATATAATAATTGATACAACTAATCCATTTTCTTTAAAAATTATATAAAACTTTTTGTTTTGTGAAAACTTTAACTAAGGGATTTCTTAGCTTGAGGGCTTTCATGCAACCGGGCCCTGGAAACACATAGTAAGAATTGGTTATAAAAACTGAAAATAGAAGGGAAACAAGTAGTAGGAAAGAGAATGATTCAAAAGCGATAATTATGTCCCTTGCCGGTTTCCCTGCTCGGTGGAGTCGAACAGTAGAGTCTTTACACTATTCGGTGTTCACACGAGTGCTGCCGAGGTATACTAAGCTTTTTATATTAGTCTAACAAAACTCAAATTGAATTCAGCTGGACACACTTTCCTGTTTATCACAACAAATGGCCAAGCAAAGCGCACGACACTGACAAGGCACGCGATACAGTACAAGACCAAACGTGATTTCAGCACGTCTCCACACAGTAAACAAAACAAGCGTTTCCTAGCAACGACAACTGCGCTAAACACTGAGACAAGAAATAAATACACTTACAAGCTGCTTTTAACTTCTGCTGATTGACTGCTTCTCACAAAGAGTATTTCTTTACACTGTGTTTTGCTGGCGCTTGAACACACTTTCCTGTTTATCACAATAGGTGTAACGGTTCACAAAATTCACGGTTCGGTTCGATACGACACAGTGGTGTTATGGTTCGGTACTGGGGTAATTGGTTACATCGCAATGTTTGAAATATTTCTGTTTTAAACCACGAAGGCTGATAATGGTATAGCTAACTGTTTTAATTTATTCTCTTAATATTTCTAATATTACATAGTGAAAAAAAAAAGAAACATATTTCGTGTTAGGTTGTTTTTGAAAGTCGGTGCTTGAAATAAAAGCTTTTTTTTTCATTGATTTTTATTGATGACTGAAGTGTTAATATTTTAATCATAGCGAAGGCTGATAATGGTATAGCTAACTGTTTTAATTTATTCTCTTAATATTTCTAATATTACATAGTGAAAAAAAAAAGAAACATATTTCGTGTTAGGTTGTTTTTGAAAGTCGGTGCTTGAAATAAAAGCTTTTTTTTTCATTGATTTTTATTGATGACTGAAGTGTTAATATTTTAATCATAGGCCTATAATTCATTGTATAATAGACCTGTTTTAAAATACCTTTTTTTAAAACATTTTAATTGAGGAGGACATATATAGCTTAATCTTTTGTTATCCTAACAGCACGTCAGTTATTTGGTAATTATTGCGGGGCAAATTAATTGTACTAATTTTAATTTAATAATAAAAGTAACTTCATAATAATAATAATAGGCCTAATAAAAATAAGAATGTAACAGGTCTACATTAATTGGAAATGCCAAATATCTTAATATTGCCAACAATTTATGTTTTTGACAATATCTCTATGGCTATCGTCGATACAACATGGGGAGGTTATCGTGGGGCCTTTCGCAGTACGTGTCCTGCGTGCCCGTCCGCTAACTTTACGCCACTGGGCAGACAGCACGTTGCCTGTTACGTCGTTTGGGCTGCCTTGTTGAGCACAGTGGCACTGAGAACATTATATTTCACACACTTTAAGCTGTTTTATTTACCAAATATAATAAGATTAGTCCAACAAATCAAATTGTTCGGTTTGTAATGCATACCGAACCGAACGCCTCGTACCGAACGGTTCAATATGAATACGTGTATCGTTACACCCCTAATATATACAAACATAAATTACTGCCTGAAAGTTTGTGAACCCTTTACCATTTTCTATATTTCTTGTAACTGCTGATCAGTCCTGCACAACGGCTTGTAGGAATTTTAGCCCATTCCTCAGTACAGAACCACTTCAACTCTGTGATGTTGGTGGGTTTCCTCCTATGAACTGCTTGCTTCAGGTCCTTCCACAAAATTTCAATTGGATTGGACCTGGACTTTGACCTGGCCATTCCAAAACATTAACTTTGTTCTTCTTTAACCATTCTTTGATAGAATGACTTGTGTGCTTGGCGTCGTTGTCTTGCTGCATGACCCATTTTCTCTTGAGATTCAGTTCTCGGACAGATGTCCTGATATTTTCCTTCATCAGAATTCATTGTTCCATCAATGATGGCAAGCCGTCCTGACCCAGATGCAGCAAAACAGGCCCAAACTATGATACTACCACCACGTTTCACAGATGGGATCAGGTTCTCAGAGATCTCATTTGTTTGTGCTGATTATACACTTCCACAAACATGATCAAACTTTGATAGATCCCTGTTCTTTAAATAAAACATGGCAACAATGACACCCAATAGCCATCTCACTGATTGAAAACATCTCTGAACAAATAAACTCTAATTTCACCTTCAAATTAACAGTTAATCATAGAGATTCACATACTTCTGCCACTCACAAATATGTAATATTGGATAATTTTCCTGAATAAATAAATGACAAAAAATCTTTTTGTCTTAATTGTTTGATTGGGTTTTCTTTGTCTACTTTCAGGACTTGTGCGAAATTCTGATTATGTTTTGGGTCATATTTATGCAGAAATATAGACAATTCTAAAGGGTCAGGCCAAATGTTAGTATTTTAACTGCATTTTTTTTTTTACTGTATTATAATGACGTAATGTAAACTCATCAAATGTATGTTGTCGCTTACCTGTCCCAGCAGCAGGAGCTGGTCAGCACACTTTTTAGTGTGTTCATAGCTGGATCGTTTCACTTCTTGTAGACGAACACGCTCCAGCTGAAACCTCTAAATGATAGAGAGAAAAAGTGATTTACAAGTCATTTTGTGTTCCGTAGATGTTTTGATCAATAGCATTTGTGGAACATGTCACAGAAAACCATTTGTTTAAATATGAAGTGTGAGATTTCTGCAGCACCAGTTGCAAAAATAATTAATGTTTTCAAACAGGTGTCCAGAATTGACAATTGTTTTATAAAATCATTGATACTGAAGAGCTTTTAACCAGATGGAGTGGGACTCTATATGTTTTGTACAAAATCAGGTTTGATTAAAAATGTAATAATTAGAATAAGGTTCTCTTATTCTATACCTTATTCTAGAATAAGGTTCTCTAATTAGAATATCCCCTATAATGGCAGTATGTATAAATAATAATCTACCCCCTTTTTCCTTTACAACTTGGCACAAGCCATGTTTGTCCTTCATTGCCCCATTAGTCAGAAGTCAGAAAGAGCTTTATTACCAAGTATGTTTATACACACAAGGAATTTGTGTTGGCGACAGGAGCTTTCATTGCAGAAGAATGTGCAGACATTAGTGCAAACATACATGCCAGTGCAGACATACATAGGATTTACACAGTAGATATTAAATATAACACTAATGTGCGAAAAACAGAAAATTAAATGCAATATAATACAGAAGTATAAATATAGAGAAAAAAAACAATTGTTTCAATGAATGTACAGATATGTTATTTACAAGTGTAGAGTTTATGTAGTTTACAAATTTACAATTTTCAGATGCTATGAATAAATGTGTCAGTTATAATGGACAATGTACAGTTATGAAAGTTTTAATTTTAAGGCTGAATATAGCCTACGGAAAAAACAAAAACGGTTCTTGTGCCTGGCTGTTCTGGTGGTCGGTGCTTTGTATACCAACATTTGAAAGAGAGATTGGGCTGGGTGTGTGGGGTCCAAAGTGATTTTTTTAGCCCTTTTCCTCACTCTGGAGATTGGGCAGGGCGGAACCAATAATCTTCTCAGCAGTCCTGACTGTCTGTTGTAGTCTCTTGATGTCTGATTTGGTAGCTTAACCACTGTTTTGAGTGTGTTCAGCTCCAGGTTGTCGTGACTGTACCAAAAAGCCAGCTCTTTAACCTCCTGCCTCTAAGCAGACTCATCTCCATTGTGTATGAGGTCGATGATGGTAGTGTCATCTGCAAATTTCATGTCATCTGTCTTTTGCAGTGCATTCGTTCGTATACATGGAGAAGAGCAGTGGGGAGAGCACACATCCCTAAGGTGTGCCAGTGCTGATTGTGAGAGACCTGGATGTGAGTTTACTCAGCCTCACTAGCTGCTGCCTGTCTGTGAGGAAGCTGGTGATCCACTGACAGATTGGGGTGGGCACGGAAAGCTGGGTCAGTTTGTCTGAGAGAAGGTCAGTCATGATGGTATTGAAGGTCGAACTGAAGTCTACAAACAAGATCCTTGCGTAAGTCCCAGGTCTGTCAAGATGTTGCAGAATATAATGCAATCCCATGTTGACTTCATCATCAACAGACCTGTTTGCTCTGTACGCAAACTGAAGAGGATCCAGCAAGGGTCCAGTGATGTCCTTCTGGTAGGCCAACACCAGTCACTCAAATGACTTCATGATCACAGACGTGAGAGCAACAGGTCTGTAATCATTAAGTCCAGTGATTTTGGTTGTTTTGGGGACCGGAATGATGGTAGAGCGTTTGAAGCAGGAGGGGACTACACACTGCTCCAGTGATCTGTGTATCTCAGACTTTTAAACAGGCAGTTTAAAAAACTGATTAAAAAAGTTTAAAAAACTTAAGTGCTACACTTAAGCACAGATTGAATGGTGGGTAGGTGTATATGTGAAGTGCAGATCAGAGTCAGGGTTGCCAGGTTTCCACAAGAAAACCCGCCCAATCGCTACTCAAAACTAGCCCAATCACGTTTCGAGGGGGTCCCAGTGTTTCCCATTCATCTGTCCCGCCACAGTTTCATAATAAGCCAAAGATATATTTATACTTATAACATAAGTAAATAATAACAAGTTCCCTTTCAGTTGGTCACTCTCGACGTCACATCAGATGACCGACGAATTGGGATCTCGCTTAGAGAGACCAATCTACTTTGAGTGTAAACTAAACGAGCCAATGCACATTGGCATGCGATTATTGCATCCAGCTGCCGCTGATCACAGCGTGAGTATAAGTAGGCAGCAGATCTTAATATTTCTAATATTACATAGTGAAAAAAAAAAGAAACATATTTCGTGTTAGGTTGTTTTTGAAAGTCGGTGCTTGAAATAAAAGCTTTTTTTTTCATTGATTTTTATTGATGACTGAAGTGTTAATATTTTAATCATAGGCCTATAATTCATTGTATAATAGACCTGTTTTAAAATACCTTTTTTTAAAACATTTTAATTGAGGAGGACATATATAGCTTAATCTTTTGTTATCCTAACAGCACGTCAGTTATTTGGTAATTATTGCGGGGCAAATTAATTGTACTAATTTTAATTTAATAATAAAAGTAACTTCATAATAATAATAATAGGCCTAATAAAAATAAGAATGTAACAGGTCTACATTAATTGGAAATGCCAAATATCTTAATATTGCCAACAATTTATGTTTTTGACAATATCTCTATGGCTATCGTCGATACAACATGGGGAGGTTATCGTGGGGCCTTTCGCAGTACGTGTCCTGCGTGCCCGTCCGCTAACTTTACGCCACTGGGCAGACAGCACGTTGCCTGTTACGTCGTTTGGGCTGCCTTGTTGAGCACAGTGGCACTGAGAACATTATATTTCACACACTTTAAGCTGTTTTATTTACCAAATATAATAAGATTAGTCCAACAAATCAAATTGTTCGGTTTGTAATGCATACCGAACCGAACGCCTCGTACCGAACGGTTCAATATGAATACGTGTATCGTTACACCCCTAATATATACAAACATAAATTACTGCCTGAAAGTTTGTGAACCCTTTACCATTTTCTATATTTCTTGTAACTGCTGATCAGTCCTGCACAACGGCTTGTAGGAATTTTAGCCCATTCCTCAGTACAGAACCACTTCAACTCTGTGATGTTGGTGGGTTTCCTCCTATGAACTGCTTGCTTCAGGTCCTTCCACAAAATTTCAATTGGATTGGACCTGGACTTTGACCTGGCCATTCCAAAACATTAACTTTGTTCTTCTTTAACCATTCTTTGATAGAATGACTTGTGTGCTTGGCGTCGTTGTCTTGCTGCATGACCCATTTTCTCTTGAGATTCAGTTCTCGGACAGATGTCCTGATATTTTCCTTCATCAGAATTCATTGTTCCATCAATGATGGCAAGCCGTCCTGACCCAGATGCAGCAAAACAGGCCCAAACTATGATACTACCACCACGTTTCACAGATGGGATCAGGTTCTCAGAGATCTCATTTGTTTGTGCTGATTATACACTTCCACAAACATGATCAAACTTTGATAGATCCCTGTTCTTTAAATAAAACATGGCAACAATGACACCCAATAGCCATCTCACTGATTGAAAACATCTCTGAACAAATAAACTCTAATTTCACCTTCAAATTAACAGTTAATCATAGAGATTCACATACTTCTGCCACTCACAAATATGTAATATTGGATAATTTTCCTGAATAAATAAATGACAAAAAATCTTTTTGTCTTAATTGTTTGATTGGGTTTTCTTTGTCTACTTTCAGGACTTGTGCGAAATTCTGATTATGTTTTGGGTCATATTTATGCAGAAATATAGACAATTCTAAAGGGTCAGGCCAAATGTTAGTATTTTAACTGCATTTTTTTTTTTACTGTATTATAATGACGTAATGTAAACTCATCAAATGTATGTTGTCGCTTACCTGTCCCAGCAGCAGGAGCTGGTCAGCACACTTTTTAGTGTGTTCATAGCTGGATCGTTTCACTTCTTGTAGACGAACACGCTCCAGCTGAAACCTCTAAATGATAGAGAGAAAAAGTGATTTACAAGTCATTTTGTGTTCCGTAGATGTTTTGATCAATAGCATTTGTGGAACATGTCACAGAAAACCATTTGTTTAAATATGAAGTGTGAGATTTCTGCAGCACCAGTTGCAAAAATAATTAATGTTTTCAAACAGGTGTCCAGAATTGACAATTGTTTTATAAAATCATTGATACTGAAGAGCTTTTAACCAGATGGAGTGGGACTCTATATGTTTTGTACAAAATCAGGTTTGATTAAAAATGTAATAATTAGAATAAGGTTCTCTTATTCTATACCTTATTCTAGAATAAGGTTCTCTAATTAGAATATCCCCTATAATGGCAGTATGTATAAATAATAATCTACCCCCTTTTTCCTTTACAACTTGGCACAAGCCATGTTTGTCCTTCATTGCCCCATTAGTCAGAAGTCAGAAAGAGCTTTATTACCAAGTATGTTTATACACACAAGGAATTTGTGTTGGCGACAGGAGCTTTCATTGCAGAAGAATGTGCAGACATTAGTGCAAACATACATGCCAGTGCAGACATACATAGGATTTACACAGTAGATATTAAATATAACACTAATGTGCGAAAAACAGAAAATTAAATGCAATATAATACAGAAGTATAAATATAGAGAAAAAAAACAATTGTTTCAATGAATGTACAGATATGTTATTTACAAGTGTAGAGTTTATGTAGTTTACAAATTTACAATTTTCAGATGCTATGAATAAATGTGTCAGTTATAATGGACAATGTACAGTTATGAAAGTTTTAATTTTAAGGCTGAATATAGCCTACGGAAAAAACAAAAACGGTTCTTGTGCCTGGCTGTTCTGGTGGTCGGTGCTTTGTATACCAACATTTGAAAGAGAGATTGGGCTGGGTGTGTGGGGTCCAAAGTGATTTTTTTAGCCCTTTTCCTCACTCTGGAGATTGGGCAGGGCGGAACCAATAATCTTCTCAGCAGTCCTGACTGTCTGTTGTAGTCTCTTGATGTCTGATTTGGTAGCTTAACCACTGTTTTGAGTGTGTTCAGCTCCAGGTTGTCGTGACTGTACCAAAAAGCCAGCTCTTTAACCTCCTGCCTCTAAGCAGACTCATCTCCATTGTGTATGAGGTCGATGATGGTAGTGTCATCTGCAAATTTCATGTCATCTGTCTTTTGCAGTGCATTCGTTCGTATACATGGAGAAGAGCAGTGGGGAGAGCACACATCCCTAAGGTGTGCCAGTGCTGATTGTGAGAGACCTGGATGTGAGTTTACTCAGCCTCACTAGCTGCTGCCTGTCTGTGAGGAAGCTGGTGATCCACTGACAGATTGGGGTGGGCACGGAAAGCTGGGTCAGTTTGTCTGAGAGAAGGTCAGTCATGATGGTATTGAAGGTCGAACTGAAGTCTACAAACAAGATCCTTGCGTAAGTCCCAGGTCTGTCAAGATGTTGCAGAATATAATGCAATCCCATGTTGACTTCATCATCAACAGACCTGTTTGCTCTGTACGCAAACTGAAGAGGATCCAGCAAGGGTCCAGTGATGTCCTTCTGGTAGGCCAACACCAGTCACTCAAATGACTTCATGATCACAGACGTGAGAGCAACAGGTCTGTAATCATTAAGTCCAGTGATTTTGGTTGTTTTGGGGACCGGAATGATGGTAGAGCGTTTGAAGCAGGAGGGGACTACACACTGCTCCAGTGATCTGTGTATCTCAGACTTTTAAACAGGCAGTTTAAAAAACTGATTAAAAAAGTTTAAAAAACTTAAGTGCTACACTTAAGCACAGATTGAATGGTGGGTAGGTGTATATGTGAAGTGCAGATCAGAGTCAGGGTTGCCAGGTTTCCACAAGAAAACCCGCCCAATCGCTACTCAAAACTAGCCCAATCACGTTTCGAGGGGGTGTGTTGAAGGCGGCCATCTCCCCTGTGCGCCTCAGCATGCTAAAAGAGCTATTTCCCTAAAAGAGCAATTACGGGTGCGTCTTTTTAAAGACGACGTTGCGTGGCAAACTTGACGTTACACCTTTGTAAAGACGATGTGGGTCTTGCTATAGACAACGTGTCACCCGGGCGTTTCTGGATGCGGTCGTTACCTGGCGCTGGGTGATGGTCACGATCGCTGCCTCACGTGCCTATTGTCCCGATCGCTGCCTCACGTTCCTGGGCATCTAGCACGCTGAGGTGGCGTTTGTGGATGAGTCATGCTCTCATTGCGGGAAGATGTTCATCTCGGGGTCGCGGGCCAAGCTCCGTTTCCTCAAAGAGGCGGAGTTTAGCCCTCAAGGTTGCACGATTGGTTCTCGGGGTGGTCCGCGTTGGTTTCCAGCGCCCCACCTCGGTGCCTTTCTTCCCGGAGGTGCGTGAGGAGCTCACCAGGTCGTGGACAGCACCTTTTACTGCTGGAAACCGAT